GCTAAAGAGATGTGCAAATGACAGTAACCTACTGGTTCTTAGAACTCAATGGTCTAAAAGTAGTGTGATCTCTCCTACCCTGTCAAGCAATCGGTAAGAGCCACTTTTGTCAGTGTGTAAGAGAAAACACACTATTTTATGTCTCTGGTTCTTCAACTAAAGAGAATTTACTTACCTAGGGTGTTTACTCTGAATTTAGTAAACTGAAAGAAAACATTCTAGAGTCATCTTACAAGACAGTGGTGATTTGGAATTAAATGGTTAATCTGCACAGTTAAAACTGCAATATCTGATGGAATAAAGACTTGGTTCACAATTCTAATGAGTGTGACAGATCATTAAATTAGGTCTTATGAAAACTTGTATCGTGAGCAAGAACAAACTGTATCTATGTACCTCAGACTTTAGTATGTTCTTCAGCTTGTTAACCTCCAGATTTGTATCCTGGACCTTCTGCTTTATGTCACTGAGTTCGTTATGAGTATCATTCAGTTTTTTGGACAGTGCCTACCAAAAAAAGATAGCTAGATTTGACTATAATAAATAAACATTTCTATATGTGAAAACATCTAAACTAAATTGTAAATATTAGAATCAGATGATTATTTAAATTTAATATAACAACCATATCAAAATCTATGTGAAAGTAGTAAAAAAAAAAATCCCAAAATAAAACAGGCAAAGGTCCCAGACAGACAAGTCACCATGAGGGAGTATAAGTTGGTAACACTAAATTAATCTTTACTAGTAACCAAAAATATGCTAATTAGGATAACAACAGAATAGAATTTTGGCTACCAAGTTAGTGAAGAGTTAAAGTTTCAATTGTGATAAGGAATGGGAATTTCTACGTATTGTTTAACTGTAAACAAGATTGTTCACAGAGAACCTGTGAACCATTATCATTAGAGAAGTACTGAGCATTTCCAGATGCTCAGAAGAAAGACATTCTCTACATTTGAAATATAAAACACTCTATAGCCAGGCAGTGGTGGTGCAGGCCTTTAATCTCAGCACTTGGGAGGCAGAGGCAGGTGGATTTCTGAGTTCGAGGCCAGCCTGGTCTACAGAGTGAGTTCCAGGACAGCCAGGACTACACAGATAAACCCTGTCTTGAAAAAACAAGAACAAAAACAAAAAAAAAAAAACAAAAACAAAACACTCTATTAATAATGTTTAATATTGCAATTGCTATGAAATCAGTAAAAATACACATGAAAATCTAACACAACAGTAACTGGATGGTAAAGACATCAAGAGATATTTCTTTTTCCTTTCCTTCAAAAAAAGGTTCTATAATGAACTTATATTTCTGTTAAAAAGTGTGGTATTAAGGATAAAACAGAAGGTTCCCAATTCCCAAAATTCCTGCCATGTCCTTTCTTAGCCTGTGGTTTACATAAAGATCTCTCTTATATGACCTAAGGGAAGAAGATTACCTGGTACATGTGTAAACTCTAGTGATGCTAGTTTTCTTCCAGTGACCAATAGAGTGTGGAGTTTAAGGAGGCAGAGAAATTTACATCATGGTAAGCTAATGAGCGGCATACTGGATACTATAGTGGGGATGAGTTTTTAGGTTCCTAATGCCCATTCCAGGCCTGGTCTCTTTTTCTCTCTGCCTGCTACCTGTGGGTGAGGATGCAAATTCCTAGCTACTGCTCCAGGAGCATACCTGCCTGCCTGCTACTACACTCTGCAATGATGATCATGGGCTAGTCCTATGAAACTATCAGCAAGTCTTCAAGTAAATAATTGTTTTTATATGTTGCCTTGGCCATGATATTTCATCACAACAATAGAACAGTAACTAATAGTATTAAATTTTTAAATTGAATGACATAAACAGAAATGCATGTTAAACATCAATAATAGCTGTTAACTCAAGTATCCCAGAATGACCTCAAATTGATTTATAGCCAAGGATAACCTGGGACTAGGGGCACCCAGAACCATACAAAACCAGGTTTTGTGGTTCTGGGTGCCAAACTCAGGATTCATGCTTAACAAACACATACTAACTGAGATAAGCTACCAGCTTCTTTCATTTTCTATTTTTTTCAAGAAACAGGATGTTTTAATGTTCAAATTTATATAGTGTTATTAGAAGTGAAGACTGTCAGACTGAAATATATTAGGTTACAGAGCAAAAATTAGAATTTCCCTTAAAAAATTCATAGTGCTAAAAAAAGGTCCAAAAATATACCATAGTCCACACATAATATTACAACATGATGCAGCCCATCATCAATATGCCCCTACTTTAAACTTCTCATAGCTTTTAATTCTTGCTTGTTTATTCAAATACCCTTTGATACAGAAATTTTTCTAAGGTTTAAAACAAATACATTCTATTCCATTTCTTTTTCTTTAGTATCTAATACTTTTTGTCTGAGACAGTCATCTAGAAATTCTATGTCAATCTGTTATGAAAGCAGAAAACAAGAGTGTGATAAATTGCAGTGTCTGAGCTTTTCTACAAAATGAAATGAGAGTTGTGTCTCAGAAGAAATAATTTTTTTCTTTGACAAAAAGATCCTGGGAACAGGAAATATACCTGGTTTTCTTGTTTGACTTTGGCAAACTGTTCTTGAAGATTGTCATTCTCATGAGCCAAGATATCTCTCTCCCTGGCGATCTGGCCCAGCTCATCATTTGTCTCGTCCAGCTGCCGGCGCATTCTGGAAATATCTTGTTCGCACATAATCAGGGCTTCAGTAGACTGTCTATTCCACAAATCAAACAGTACATAAGAAGAGATAGTTTACTGACATAGAATAACACATTCTCACAGGACAGAAGACGGACAGTCAGAATGAAAACCAACTGAAGAAGTTTTTGACGTCTGTATTTAAAGGAGCTATCGCTGCAAAGATGCTTCCATTCTCTCTGGCAGTTCCACACTTCAGCCAGTGCGTGGGTCACTGCATCTCAGACTTCCAATGGATATAGGAAGTTCACCATAGCCATTAAGGCTGACTCCCCTGCCGCGTTCTCTTTTTCTGTGCCTTTAAATGTCGTTTTTTAGAGCCTCGTTCTTCTCCTTCTAGCCCTACTTTTCAGAGTAATCTTGGTCATGACTACAACTCCAGCAAGAGTTTTCGTTCTTAACTCAACAGGGATTTAAAATATAGGAGACATACCCTCCCGTGTCTGAGAGTGACTCCAGAGAGAACTAAGTGATGGAGGGGGACCCATTCTCAAAGTGGGCAACACCTTCCAGCAGGCTTTCCGAGGGAAGTAAGTCAGTGCAGCACACTGCCTGCCTCTTTCCTGAGCGTGCACTCATGCCTGCTGCCTTGTTCCTCTGATAGCATACTTATTTCTTTGGCCCTCCTCCCAATACAATCGGAACATCGCTGGCTCAACAGGGAGCTCCACGCCTCCAGCACCAACTAGGAACAGCAGAAGCATCCAGTTTCTTGGGGTAGGTAGCTACCAACTTCTATGCCATTCTGGAACACAGACTGCCACTGTTAGATTACCTAGCTCCTAGCATGAGAGACAATTTCTCTTTACTATACATATATACATTCTATTGGTCGTGTTCCTGGAAAGAACCCTGCCTAGCCAGGCAGTTGTGGCGAACGCCTTCAATCCCAGCACTTGGGAGGCAGAGGCAGGCGGATTTCTGAGTTCGAGGCCAGCCTGGTCTACAGAGTGAGTTCCAGGACATCCATGGCTGCACAGAGAAACCCTGACTCGAACCCCCCCCCCCAAAAAAGAACCCTGCCTAATAAAGGTTTGTGGGCTGGGAGTTGAGTAAAGAAATAGAAATATAAGCATGAATTTCTTTAATGGGTTTGGTGGTATCTAGAGCTGGATATTTCTATATTGGATTACTTACATCGGGGAAAGATCTGTCCTTTGTCCTATTGAAAAGATGCTTATTACTTTTCCTGCATATAATGCTTAAAAATGCCTTATCTTGGGCTGGAGAGATGGCTCAGTGGCTAAGAGCACTGACTGCTCTTCCAAAGGTCCTGAGTTCAATTCCCAGCAACCACATGGTGGCTTACAACCATCCATAATGGATCTGATGCCCTCTTCCGGTGTGTCTGAAGAAAGCTACAGTGTACTCATATAAATAAAATAAATAAATAAATAAAAAATGCCTTATCTTCTGTCATGGGATTCCATACAGCAATTCTTCTGACCAGAGAACTCATTTCACAGCCAAAGAAATCTAACAGTGAGCTTAGGCTCATGGAATCTACTGGTCTTACCTTGTTCCTAACCATCCTGAAGCAGCTGATTTGATAGAATAGTGGAACCACCTTCTAAAGATTGAGCTAAAACATCTAATATGTGGTAATAGCCCAGAAGTCTAGGGCAGGGTTTTCCAGAAGGCTGTATATGTTCTGAATCAATATCCAACATATGATACTATTTCTCTCTAGCCAGGATTCATGATCCAAGAGTTAAGAAATAGAAATAAAAATCATACCACTCCCCATCATCCCTAGTGATCTTCTAGAACAACAATGAAAATGGTATCACTCCCCATAATCCCTAGTGATCCACCACAATGTTTACTTCCTAATCCCACAACATTATGCTCTGGTGCCCTACAAGCTTTGGTTCTAGAGCAGGGAAAATGTTTCAATCAGGAGGTACAAGAACCATTCTATTAATCTGTAAGTTAAAGCATCCTCCTGGGTACTTTGGGTTCCTAAGTCAGCATGCTAAGAAAGGAATTAAAGTATTAGGATTGATTCAGACTACCAGGGGTGGACTGACTAGTACCCCACAGTGAGGAAATATCTGAATGCAGATCTTTTAGGGCACCTTTTAGTGTTATAATGCCCTTTGATTAAGGTCAATGGGAAAGAAACTTCAATTCAGCCTAGGTAGGATGATAAAACCCTAGCTGAAAGTGTGAGTCATGCCCCTATATAAAGAACCCAGATATACTGAGGTACTTTTTGAAGGCAGAGAAAATGCAGAATGAAATACAGTCACATGACTAGTTATAGAAACCAGGATTTTAATTATCACGTTTCCTGTTTGTGTGTGTGTGCATGTGTACATGTACATACATACTTATTAAGCAGATCTCTATGTTTTTCTTTCCTGTATTATAGCTTTAGCATGTAATACATTAATTTAGTTGCTTTTAGAACTTATATGCCATTATATCTATATCATTAAACTTAACTCATGAATTATCAAAAAAAGTCAACATTCCCCAAAGGACTTATGCCATTTTTGCATTTTTATGCATTTTCAGTTGTACATGGTATTTTCATTACCTGGACTTGTAACCTTGTTATATTCTTCATTTAAAAATAAAGAAAGGCATTAGACATGATTGTCAACTTGATAAGAGATAGAGTTGTGATGGCTGGTCTTATCAACTTGATGACACTTAAAGACCCTAGGAAATACACCTCTAGGAATAATGTCTGAGATGGTGTTTTTGGAGAAGTTTAACATACTGAGGAAAGCCCATCCTCAAAGTGGACAACACTCTTTAAATGGCTCTTCCAGAAAAAAAAGCAATGTTGTCTGGCCCTGGCTCTTCTTATTGAATGTACGCAGCTATAGCTGCCCCCACTGTCAACAGACTCCAACTTCTTCAGTCCTCCAATGTAGACTGAACACCAGCAGCTCTCCAGGGAGCTCTAGGCCCCCAACACTGGTTTCAGGCTGCTGAGGTATCTAGCTTTATGGACTGGGCAGCTACAGAGCTCTCTGGTCCTTCAGTATACAGACAATTATTGATAGGATAGTTATCAGCCTCTATTAGATTCTGTTTCTCCAGTGCCTGACATAGTTCCCAGCTCCATGGAACCCACAGAATTGTCTCTATGGTTAGCTCCCTGCTAACACTGCAGATTCATGCTTGCTGGACATGTCTACAAGTTCCCAGAGGCTCTTTAGATTCAGAGGCAAAAATCACCTTTCTCTGAACACACATCCTGTCATGTGCAATGGAGGACATGGATGCCTGATATTTCCTTAAAGTCTCTCATCATAAACAACTCATTCCTTCTATTGCTCTAATCTCTTCTAAAGCCCAATTTAGTACCTCTTCTTCCTGGACAGTTCAATAAAAAAGTTATCTTAATACTTTAAAATCTCTAATAGTCTTTAATCCCCAAAGGATGAAAATCAGACTCGTCTGTGTACTGTAGTAGTACAGGCCTCATTGCATGTTTGGCTTCTCCTTTCGTCACTTCTTTTTAGCCAAAGATTTAATTTCCTGTATATGCTTGTTCTGCCTGTATGTGTGTATATGTACCACATGTATATGTGTACTGAGGGCAGAAGAGTGTGGGATTATCTGGGCCACCATTCTCTGCAAGAATAGAACATGCTCCTAAGAGCTGAACCATCTCTCCAGTCCCCTTCACTTCCCTTACACTTGAGGGAACTGTGGATCTTTGCTACTATGTCTGCTTTGGAAGCCCTTCCCTTTATGTCTCCTGGTGCACATCATCCTCTTCTTTACTCTCCGAGACCACCTAAGCCTCTGTTGAACGTCAGACCTGATACATAACACAGCCTCCTGACTTTCAATCTCGTTGTATTATACATAAATTATATTGTGACTCCAGTAAGCACTCAAATATTTTTGAATGATTTACCTTGATGCCTGTTCCATCTCAGCAATGATATTCTTCATGCCTGAAATGGTCTTTTCCTTAAAATTAATAAAAATATTAAGTTAAAATTATTTAAAACTCATTTCTACCAAAGCTGAATAATAAAAAGAACCATATCCCCTGATTTCCATTTGTTTGTAAACATTTATACCATATTCTTTTTTTACACTTTAATCCTATAGTTAATGTATAAACTGGGTAAAGTTAATATATTCATTAAAGGAAAGAATACTCATAAGTATATTGATATGATATCATATAACTAATAATAACTAATATTGTGTTAAAAGATTTGTGTAATCATCCAGCTGTATAAAACCCCCATAACTTCCGTGGTTTGGCAATGAAATATTCCATACTAAATAGAATTAATTTACTTCTATATGTTCCTTACATTGTAAAACTTGGGGAATTGAATGATATGTAATTGACCTTGTTTCTTTTTAATTGTTTATTTTATTTTTGAGAATATAATATAATAATGCCATTTCCCCTTATATTTCCTCCCTTCAAACTCCCCCATGGCTCTCTTTCAAATCCATGGACTCCTTTTTTTATTCATTGTTGCCATGCACATATATGTATATGTATGTACAGACATATCCCTAAACACATAAATGCTAAGTGCTCAGTCTGTATGGTAGGTGTATGTATGTTTTCAGGACTGGTATTTGGTATCGGATAACCAATTAGTGTGCTCTTCCCTATCCTCAATCCTACACATAAGAACCATAGGCAATTATCTCTTAGAATAAAAGCAAACTGAGTACATTATTTATATTAGCAATAAAAACTTCAAATATCTGTCCTAATATACTTCAGAGATGTTTTGAAAAAATAGAAAGAGTGGAATTAGTCGAGGCTGAAATAGATTTGAATGTACTGCCTCCAATAGTATTACCATGTTTTCCAAACCCTCAGAGAGCATGCACTATCTTCATGTGCCCCACGCTAGGGTGTTTTTAGCTTGTGCTCTTTGGTAGAATGATGATAACTCTGTATGTGACAGTGCGACCAAATGTTTTTGGCTAGAGTATGATTAAAATACCCACTAGCAACATAATTCATACCTCTGAAGAACAAACTCATAGAAGAAAACCTTAAACACACACACACAACTTAAAATGGAGTACTTGGAGATCTGGGAAGGTGGTTCACTCTGTAAAGCACTTGCTGCACAAGCGTGGACAAGCATGAGGACCTCAGTTGCATTCCCAGCAGCCATATAAGGTGCACACTTGTGATCCTAGCACTGAGGTGTGGAGACAGGGAGATCCCTAAGGCTTGACAGCAGCCAGTCTAGCCAAGATAGTTGCTTTGGGTTCAGCAAGAAACTCAAACCCTAAGGCATACACACATCACATGCATGCACACACTCATGTGTGCACACATACAAATTTTTAAAAAGTAAAAAAAGGCAGTTTATACAGGATTTTAAGTAGGTTGTGATGTCATATATTTTAAAATGAATTTTGAAAACTTCACTGAACATCAAGTACCTTGAAAGACATTACATGACTAAGTACAGAATATACTCTATAACCCTAAACAGAGCGGTTTTTTTTTAATCAAAAAGAAAAAAAAAAAGCAAGATTCTGTAGGAACATATAAAATATCCAGGGCAAAAATTACTGAGTAGAAACCTATCTGATATCCTCTCAGACAATTTCTCTTTTAGTAGAACTCTAATACCACCAATCTCCAAACCTACCAATATGAGAAAATTTAATATTCCTACAAATAAAATGTAATATCACTTGCACAACCTGAGTATGTTCTTCCAGTGAAGAACATACATTCATGTGAACTGTTAGAGCACAGTTATAAAGAGGAAAAACTAAAACTTTCCAATTCTAGCTTTTCATACTCAAAAATCCATGTGCTTGCTACTCTAATTTCTACCATTAATTGATAGCAAAACATTTCTTAAAACTAGGATTACCAAGAGCTTGAGATTTGTCTCAATAGTTAAGAGCACTTGATACTCTTCCAGACACCCAGAGTTTGATTCCCAGCACCTATGTCAGATACCTCTCAGCTAACTGTCTGTAACTCCAATCCTGAGGGATTCAACTTATTATTCTGGCCTCCTCAGGCATTCACACATAATTGCACATACACACAAACTCATAAATAAAAATAAAACCTTTAAAATTAAAGCTAAGACTACTGGGGATGGGGAGAACAGCTTATTCACTCTAATGCAGAGTTCTCCAGATTAGCTTATTTCTGTATCTCCACATTAGACCATGAAATGTCTTGCTTTCTACTTAAGAGTATTTGTTAGTTCAGTTCTAAAGTGTCACTACAGAGAACATTATCTCTTTTATTTGTTTGGGTCTTTTAAGACAGAGTCTATATATCTCTGGATAGCCTGGAACTTGCTTTGTAATACAGGCTGCCCTTGAGTTCACAGAGATCTTCCTGCCTCTGTTCCTCTGCCTCTCCAGGTTTACAGGCATGTGCCACCATACCTGGCAATCACTCTTAGCTCTCTAATGCTGTTTTAACAAATTATTTTCCCTTCAGATGACATATGGTTCATAAAACCTTTAAAAATTTAAAAGATCATTTCAACAAGAAAATGCACACACACAAAACACACACATGTGCATGCACACACACACATATGTACACACACACGTAGGCACCATTTCTTTCCATTACTTCAATTATACTCATAATTTCAAATTTATTTTCAGTTTTCACTCTAAACCTAAAATTCCAGCAGCCTATAAGTATTACATGTGCATGTCCCAAAGACAATTCCAACTCAGGAGGTGAATGATCACTCTTCCCAGGCATGTTCTGTTCCTTGTGTTCCTTCTTCACACACAGGATTATTGAGGAGGTAGAAGGCACATCTCAGTCCTACTTCCTTAACAGATCTGTTTCTCTCATGACTCCACAGCTTCTGAGGACATGTCTCACCATCTTACTCTTTATCAGCCCCTGTTGCTAGCCTCAGGTCCTCACAATCCATCTTTCATGAGGATTTATAATCGACAGAATGCTCATTCTAAAACAGAGATCCAGCTGTAACCTCTCACTCACATCATCGCGGCTACAAAGTCCACGGTCAATATCATGTGTATCTTTGTGATTGGTTGTTTCTCTATCTACACGAAACTCTTTGCAGCCTATGCTCCAGCCATAAACTCTGGAACTGTCCTGAAATTCTCCCACAAGAGTCAGTGGACTCTAGTGTAAGCTGCTATGTTTGTCTATCACAGTCCCATGGCCCTCTTCCCTTAAGTCCTTCTCTAGCTTATTTCTAGTCATCTTTTATAAAAATTTAGACATGTCGCTCCCTGGAAGGCTTCCTAGACCTTTCTTCTCCTGGCCCAAGCCCCAGGCTGGATCAGACATGCTTCTGACAAACTCCAGTAGCACATGGCACCTCGTGGTGCAACCCTGTCCTATAACAATAGGATCTTCTCTCTATTACTCTCTGGCCCCATTTACCTTCAGTTTTTATTGTATCATCCAGGGTGTGTCAATAAATATTTGTTGAAAGACTGGATGACAGATGGATATATTAATGAATTAGTTTCCTTAGAATAGAGAAAGCCCCTACTTCAATGATACAGTCTTTGCTAAAAAAAAAAAAAAAAATTATGTAAAAACAGACTAGACTTGCCTTCAGGATCAGTTTATGAGCTATTAAAGGAGCTTTTTTTTTCTGTTTTCCTCATGAAATCTTCTATTATTGTTTAACAAGAAAAAATCACGGGTGACATAATTATCCAGCTTTATGAACAAAAAGCACACAGCCTGACAATGTCACTAAAACATGTATTCAAAAATATCTTAAATGAGCTGGGCTTGGTGGTGCACACCTTTAATCCTAGCACTTGGGAGGCAGAGGCAAACAGATCTCTGGGAGTTTGAGGCAAGCCTAGTCTACATACTAAGTTCAAGGTCATCCAGGGCTGCACTGTGAGATTTGTCCAAAAAAACAAGTAAAGTATGTTCCTATTTTACAACCACAAAGGCAGTTTTAATGGAATGAACATATGACAATCTACGGCAATGAATTTAAAATGTTCGAAAGAAAAAAATCATTTTTACCACTTTATTTTGACCCTAGATTTCATCATTATCAGTGAATATAAATCACTAATTCATGATGAAAAGAAAATTTAAGACATTAGCTAATGGATTTGTATACATGCTTTCTAAAACTTGCTTAAAACATTTCAACATCAGATTTTAAAGTTTTGGCTTTCTAGGAAAATCTGAGTAAATCCTACTCTTTTATTCAGAGTCAAGTAATCCACAGTTTCATATTTAAACATTTCATTTAAGCATATCTTGTCTACCAGCTCTCAGAACATACTTTCATTGCCAAGCTCTCTCCAAGGGATGCAATATTCTCAGACTTTTTATCCAGACATGCTTGCAGGCATTCCTTTTCTTTAGCCAGATCATTGAGGGTTGCACCAAGAATGCTGATTTCTTCTCGCTGTGCAATATTTTGCCTTGTAAAATTATCTAAATAATTATAAAAGTGTTGTTTTAATCAAGATATAATCCTTTTTTCTAGTTCATCAGACTGAAATATTTTCCAACTAATTGTCCTGTTACCCAATCACTTAAGAGTACTTTACCCCAAATAAAATCTTTTTTTTGTGTGTGATTACAAACAATTGTGAATCACAAAGTTCTAAATGCCCATAAATATAAAAGCACAATTAATGTCTTTGAATTATAGCCAAGGAAAGCTCTACATCAACATTGAACCAGACTACTCTATAAGGGGAATGAATGAGACAAGTGGAACATCGAAACAACCTACAGATTTTCTCCATTAACTTCCTCTCCCTTCTAGCCTAGAATGCATATTGATTGTAAAGTTGACAATATAATTTCATAAAATATTATATCAGGTCAGCTTTAGAGCCAATTGCTTCCCAATATTTTTATTCTTCCTTATTTTTCTAAAATTTCTAAGAAAGAGAATCATCTGTGGTATCCTCTGAGAACTAACTCTGACAAGCCAATGTCAATGTTGAAGGCACAAATAACTTAAACAAAGCGGAAATTTTTAAATCATGCTTTTATCACCCAACTCTGTCAGAACCACCTAGGAAATACAAATTCTTACACTTTGCATGGTCCTACTGAATCAAAAATCCTGATAGTGTGCACAGTAACTTGTATTTTGGCAAGCATACCATGCCCTGCACCCCCATGGTGGTTCTAATCCACAGTGAGTGGGAACTGTTGGAGAGGCAAATACTCTAGAACAACAGAATTACCTGGCATAAATCTTCAACAAGTCTGGCTCCAGTGACCTTTGCTAGCCTTCTAGGAGACTATGTCATGTGCCATTATTTGAGAACCCCTCTTCCAGTGCTCTAAGAGGAGAGTGCTGGTAGACCAGTCAGTGCTCTAGAACAGTGCCTATGGAGTTAATCCTGTCAAGAGCCACTCCAGCACAGTGCTTACTAGGTAATACTATTCTGTCACATACAGTACTTACCAATGCCATGTCTCTCTGTATGGGCAGTAATGACTCCCAGGCAACACACGTTTTGATGGTTCTATATCTAAGTATATTTCTACTGAAAACCAGTCAACCTATCATCCAGCTATCATGGTGATGTCAACATGACAATCTAGGATTCATCTGAGAGAACAGTCTTTTGGTATGCCTACACGGGTTCCCCTTAATTTATATTAATTGATGTGGGAAGACTCTTCTGGCTTGGGAGTGGGAACATCATCTAGGCAGAAGATTCTGAACTGTATAAAAAGTAGAGAAAGCAAGCTGAGCAGCAAGCATGTTCTGTTGCTTTCTTCTGTCTGTAGACATGTCTGCAGCTGCTTTAAGCTCCTACTGTCTTGACTTTCCTGACATGATGAGCTGGTACTTTTGAACTGTGAGCTAAAATAAACCCTGCCTCCCTTAAGAGTTTTGGTCAGTACTTTGTCACAGCAACAGAAAAAGAGACTGCTAATATCCATTTCTTTAAAACTCGAATAAGTCTTAGCTTGATGCCTTCCTATCTCACCAGAGCTACCACTTTGTTTTCTTGATACTTTCCATTTCACTGTATTTTGCTTGTTTAGATTTTTTGTTTTGTTTGTTCCTGAGACAGAGTCTCATGGCATATCCCAGCTGCAGGTTTGGGACTTGTTAAGTAGCCCAGACTGTCTGGAACTCATGATTCTCCAATTTTAACCTCCCAGGTGCTGAGAATGTGGGTATGACCTATCATGCTAAATTCTTGCTGTTTTTTAATTGTTTGGGATTACAAATAAAATCACGTGGATAAAGTTCCCTATGTGTGTTGACGTCATCACATCCAAGTCCTCTTAGAAGTACCAGGTAAATTTTTGTTAGGCTTATGGAAGAGAAAATTATTTCTAATATTTGGAATTTTCAGAAAAAAAAAAAGCCTTCCCTAGGGAAGAACACACCAACTGATTATCCAATATAAAATGTCTCAAGAGTCTAGTTCTTTATTTTGTGTGTGTGCATATATATATGTATATATATGTATGTGTGTGTGTGTGTGTGTGTGTGTGTGTGTGTGTGTGTGTGTATAAATGTATATATGTAGGCATCTGCACTCAATCTGTCATAAAGGCTCAGATTGGCTTTATTTCACAACAGCCACTACCATTGGTGGGCATCTCACAGTCCGGGCATCTTCAATATGAGGGGTCTCACTGCTTTCTTGGCCTCATTTCAAAGATTCTGACCCTACCTCGTGGTGTAAGTGTGTGTGTGTATACATATTTTATGTATATAAATGATATATACACAAGTCTCCAGACTTTTCTGTTCTTTCTCACTTCATATTTAAGTTCTCATTCATTCCTGAATCACTGCTTCCTCCACAAATAACACTCCAAGCTTTTCTCATCACTGTTACCAAAGCAGCCAGGGAGCTAAAGCTGACTGACATTTTTAGCTCCATGTTAGTTCATTTTCCAAAAGTCTCTGACAAGAGATCACACCCCCTGCTTTAAAACACCTTTCTTTCTGCCTTCCAAATAGATCCACTTCTGGGTTTTTTTTTTCCTACTTCTTTGGCTTCTTCTTATCCTGTTTTGGATTCTCTTGTCCTTATTCTCTGCTTTTTCCCCTCCCCCTACATGACTTCATGGTTTTAAAATACCCATTTATATAAGGTATCTTATTACATTATCTTTCATATTTCTCTTTGACCATTTCATGTCTCAATCAGTAGCAAATCCACCTACTTATCTACTCATGCTAACATTTACTAAACAACAAAAAGGAGCTTAAGAAATTATTTTGAGATTATAATAAAATTACATCATCCACCTCCCCTTTCCTTTCTTTGCCTCAACCTCCCACATAGTTCCCTTGTTCTGCTTCAAATGTATGGCCTCCTTTTTTAACTGTTGTTACATATCTGCATGTGTGTAAATATTTAAGTCCAGCCTGCTCAGACCGTATCGCGTTACTTGTATGTATGTTTTCAGGGCTGATCATTTGCTATCGGATAATCAGTTGATGTGCTCCTCTTTGGTAAAGATGATTTTTCCTGAGAATTCCAAATTCTAAATATAATTTTCTTTTTGGTTTCCAAAACAAGGTTTCTCTGTATAGCCTTGGCTCTGCAGACCAGAACTGGCTCTGTAGACCAGGCTGGTCTCAAACTCACAGAGATCTGCCTGCCTCTGCCTACCAAGCGCTGGGATTAAAGGTGTGTGCTACACCACCCAACCCTAATTTTCTCTTCTTTAGTCTTCCATAATCCAGACAAAAACTTATCTGCTGCTTGTAATAGCAATAAGATGTTCCTATCAATATAATGAGAATTTTTATCAAAATGATTTTTTTGTAAACTCAAACACTGTTGTATACATAACTAAGTATGTGAACATTTTCTACCCAAGGTGAAAATACATATACAGTACAATGCCTTTCAATAGCTCTGAGTAAGATGCAACATTATACAAATAGAATCAGATTACAATTAATTATCATACAAAAAAAGGGGCTGTGGCTTTAACTGTCTCTTGACTGATGAAATTCAAGTCATAACTAAGAATTTTTGGTTCTAAATCTAAGCTTTAAAATGTTACAGTCAAATAAAAATGCATTTTCCATTAAACTTAAGGCTAAAGGCCGCTCCGTAGGGATGTGTGTGTGTGTGTACTTTATACTTTATATATATACTTTAATTGTAATATAGAAAAATGTATATTTCTACCAAACTTAAGAAAAGGCAATAACAAAAAAAACTTACCAATTTTTTCATCCAAGCACATAATTTTCTCCTGAGTAAGCTGTAGCTCATATTTTTTCTTAGCAAGATGTCGCTGAGTATCAGAAAGATCTTTTTCTGTGTTTTCATATAAAAGTCTGAAAATATTTTAATAATAAAAACTAATTCTGGAATTTTTATGTTTTGTCAATGTTTAGTATATTTAAATCCAAAAGCTCTTAAGGACACTCGTGTGTTTTCCCTCTTAATACTGTCGTTCTTATAAAGCCATACTATAGGAAATTAGCAAAATAAGGAGCTGGGCTAGAAAGATCACTCGGGCAGTAAAATGCCCACTGTGCAGACATGAGGACTGGGCTAAAATCCCCAGTACCCAAATAATAGGCTGGCTGAAAAGCACTGGGACTGGGAAAGGGCAGGGAAAGACAGATTCCTGGAGCTCACTGGTCAGACAGCCTACCTGATCAGTGAGCTCAAGATTCACAAGGAGAAAGACTGGAACTCAAAAGTAGATGGAGAGCAACCAAGGAGGGCTCCCAATGGTGACTTATGGCCTTCACACACACACACACACACACACACATGCACACATGCACACATGCACACACACGCACACATGCACACATGCACACGCACACCACATATACTCTTAATATTTTTGCTTTGTTGTGTTTTGCTATGCACATTTCCGAGTTATCATACTATAAAGATAAATTGAAACACATCTTACCTATACTTAATATTTAGTATCTTTAAATCTTACAGTGCAGCTCTCCAGATCGTGATTTTCTAGCTGAAAAGTATCACTTGAGTGATAATCATATACTTTCTAAGCAGATTCCTTATTATCAGACTTCTAGGTTTATTCTGGGTTTTCACCTTTAAATCTCCCATGAACAGCATGTTACTTACTCCACACACACTGTCTGGCGTGTATAAGAACAGGGCACGAGAAGTTGAGGAAGCAGTAGTAATCTAAGTTTGCAATGTCCATACCCTCATGAAGTCCACAGTCCCCAAGTGGAAGTAAAGCGACCTCCTTTTCTTGAAATATGGAAGGCCATTCATCAAAATCACACTCAGGCATTTTAAAGATGTGAAGCCACTTTATTTTTATTTATTTGTTTGCTTGGCTTGGTTTTAAGATACAGGATTTCTTCACATAGTCTGGGTTGTCCAGGAACTTGGTCTGTAGACTAGGCTGGCCATGAATTCAGAGATTCAATTGCCTCTGCCTCCTAAGTGCTGGAATTAAAGGCATGTGCCATCACTGTCTGACACTTTACATATATGACAAAATGTATGGTCATTTGTGTGGGATGTCTATTTGTGCATAATCAAGCCATGGCACTTGTACTAGTCATAGTTGGATTTGTCTGACTCTTCCTTGAGAAATTCTTACTTTTAAAGAAAATAAAAGTCAAAGTTGGCTCCAAATTGGACACACAAAACTGTGGCACTGGCAAAACTTATCTGGAGACAACACTCTCAGTCCAGGTGAAGCTAATACTCAGAAACAGTCCTTCTGAAAAGATCCCCTGTCTCAAATCACAAATTGTGTTAGGAAACAATATACATTCAATAAGAGGTTAAAACTAAATTAGATACCCCCAAATTCCAGAGTACAGCACTAGTGTACAGAAACTTTAAAACAGATGTGTTTAAATACAGTCATAATATAGAATGCAAAATCAAAAGAAAAACCACAGTTTTAAAATATAATCACAAAATTAAACTAATATCATTAAAACATTAAAAACAATAAAGCTCAAAGGACAAGTTTAGCAGATAAAGCTAGAGAGACAACTAGAAAGATGGAGCCAACAAATCAGAGGCGATCACCTTTATTAAGAACACAGGTAAGAGGGTGGGAAACAGAGAGAGAGACATGGAAATCTGGAGGTCTGTTATCTACCAAATCAAAACCAAAGAAAGAGAATCAAGGCAACGTTCAAAGGAATAATGGTTAATAAAAGATAAAATCTTAGAATAAGGAAGCACTAACCTGAATCTATTCTGTGGCAAATTTAAGTGGATAAAAGTAAAGAACTTCAAAGGAATGAAAGGAGTGTAGGTGTAGATTGACCAAAACTAAGGATAGGCAAATATTATGGAACCCCACTTGAACATGAGCTCATTAAGAATATAACAACAAGCCGGGCGGTGGTGGCACACGCCTTTAATCCCAGCACTTGGGAAGCAGAGGCAGGTGGATTTCTGAGTTCAAGGCTAGCCTGGTCTACAGAGTGAGTTCCAGGACAGCCAGGGCTACACAGAGAAACCCTGTCTCGAAAAAACAAATATATATATATATATATATAACAACAGGTGTAGAGGTAGAAACACTTGTTGCTCTTGCAGAGGAGTCAAGTTCAGTTCCCAGCACCCAGAAGTGGTCCACATCCATCCTAATTCCAGTTCAAGACAGCTGATGTCCTCTTTTGACTTCCATGGGCACCACACACATGTGATACACAGGCATACATGCAGATAAAATAGTTATAAAAATAATGTCACAGGAAAGAAAAAAGATGTTTGAACAGAGGTGTCCTGTGTGAACAGACATGCTCCAGAAGACATGGGTTTTTAAATGAAACTCTCAATGTTAGGCTTAGTGTTGTTTCTCTAAATGGTCATGTTGTCAAATTGTCTTCTCAATTTTTTTTTGTTTAATCCATAGATTTGAACTGTTCCTAACCTTTGGCAAAGAAACTTCTTCCTACAGTAGGCACCTGCTCAGAGAGTTACGTGACTTGGAATGCTTAGGGAATGTCATGAAAGAGAAGGCAGGGAGATGTAAGAGCCAGAGGGTAGAGAGGAGAGATGCACAATGCTGTCTTCAGGACACAATGTGAGTGTTGAACACATGAACTCACAACTATGCTTACCTGCCTAAGATCGAAGTAGTTACAAATTCTAACATGGTGGTGGGAGTGACTCCCAAGGCCAAACTCCTAGCCAAGGATCTATTGGCAGTTGATTGCTGCTATGAGAGGGAGACTCACTTTTTCTCAAAGGGTGGTTATTGGCAGCTTGTCCATGCCCCTAGTAGACAGCACCACAGCCATGTGCACACTGGCAGCACTGACTGGATGTACTGGATATATATTTTTGGAAGATATATATATATATATATATATATATATATATATATGTGTGTGTGTGTGTGTGTGTGTGTGTGTGTGTGTGTGTGTGTGTGTGTGTTTGGAGGGAGGGAGCAGAAGAGTTAACAGTAATAAGTATTGTATATATCTATGAAAGTTTCAAGTAAAAAAAGAACTTCACAGGGAAGCAGATTTCATTAAAAACACTATACAAACAGTAAAAATATAATACACACATATACTTCAAAGTGGTATTCTTAAATGTCAAGTAAAGCACTTAAAGTCAGAATTAATGAAAACAGGCACAACTATCTGCAATTCCAGTTCCAGGGAGTTACATTCAGAGATCTGATTAACTTCTGATTTTTACAGGTGCCAGATGTGAATATGGGGCACATACATACACACAGGCAAAATACATGAACATAAAATAAAGCAAATACATCTAAAAGTTATGAAAAGTTTCATTTACTTTATCACAGGTGCAAATCTGACAAAATGTTATAAAAAGTAAAAAGTGTAGTTATTTCCCACACTTAAGCATATGTAAAACATTGTTATATACTTAGCTATTCTTGCATTATTAAAGCTGCACTACAACCATATACTTCTTTTTAAAAAGATCTTTATAAAACTTTATGACCATATAAGAAGAAAAAATAGAAAATGGAAAACTATATATAGTCATCAAAATAGTCAAATTAATAAATCACAACTAACTAAACCAAATCTTCAAGTAGACATTCAGAGATATGATTATAATAAACTCCTATATGTTCATGCCTTGGGAGTTTCCAAAAGCAGGAAGATCAGGAGTTCAAGATCATCCTCCACTCAAAGTAAGGACAAAGTCAACCTGAGATTCACAAGATACTCTAAAACAAAATAAAATAATATAACTATTCCAGAATCTTGTGAGTCAAGTGTTAAAAACACACCAGAGAAAATCTCCCAATATATTTGGCTAAGCTACCTAACATGCTGTCTTCTCACACACCCATGTTGTGTACTAAAAACTACTGAACTGGCAAGGTGACTCAGTAGGTGAAGGCACTTAGCACTCAGACTGATGACCTGCGTTTGACCTCACTGTGGCACATGTACACACACACCAAGCATATCATCATCATCAATATCAAATATAGTCTTCAAAACCCCCCATCTATGTGCAACCTGGACAGAAGACTTCTAACTAAGACCCTTTCAAAAGAACTGAAGAATCTCAGAAATATGCACACACTTGGTTTATGTACAGCTGCTACCAGGACGTGGAAACAATGAGAAAACGTACACACAAAGACACGGAAAGGCGGCTCGGCAGGGAAAAGCACTTGTTGCACAAGCCTAGTAGATCAAGGTGGATCACCAGACCTCCTACTTTGAAGGGCTTACAAAAGGGAACAACCACAAAGTAAGGAACCTGGGGAAAACGTGCCACTGCCTCATGGTGAAAGACAAGCCTAGGAGGGAGTCATGGCAAGGGAGAGGGAGGAGCTGGGATGTTGAGCATTGAGTATTTCAGACAACAGGAAGGTCAGTGGGAGCAGTGCGCTATAAGGTGGTAGCAGCTTTACCTCTGACTAGGAGATGAGCCTATCATCTGAGGGTAACCATGGAGTCCCAGAGCCTCAGCCTGAGGTCAGAAAGTAGGTTAACCTCTAGAGACACGGTTCTCAACCTGTGGGTTGAGACCCCTTTAAGTGCCAACATACCAGATATTATCATCACAGTTCACAACAGCAGCAAGATTACTGTTAGGAAGTAGCAATAAAATAATTTTATGGTTGGGGTCACCACATCATGAGGAACTGTATTAAACAGTCACAGCAGGCTGAGGTAGGAAGGTTGAAAGCTCCAGAGCCTCTGTCACTGCTGTGGGCCTGAGAACTGTGAAGCTCCAACACTGTGTTTGGCTTTCACAGCCTTATATCTCTAGCTGAGTGCTTAATTTTGGGTTTAATCTGAGAACAAAGACTGGTCTACCTGTACAGTAACCACATACACTGATCAAACTGGCTTCATTCCAGGAATGG